GGAAAAACAACTTATGACGATAACAGAGAAACTCCTAATTTTTCATCCCAACTGCATAGCCAGACGATAACAGGGAAAAACAAGTCGTATTATAATATTCATCAGTACAAGTTATCTAACAATATCACAACAAAAATAAAAATGATGTAAGAAACCATTTGTGAGTGATCACCACACTGTTGCCAAAAGGGAGAAAAGATGAGTCCAATTAATTAGACAGAACCAGCTCTTACATGAGTAATAACTATCAGCCTAAATCAAATTATGTTACTGTTGATGAATATTCACAGGGTTTGCCACTGAAAGAACCTCCCTGCCTATAAACAGTCAAGCAAACCTGCATGCAGAGAAAGACAACTTGATGTGTTAAATCTTAACTTGTTCTTAGAGGCTTTCATGAAGCCCAAGCTTGATTATCTTTCCCTGTCTGGATTCTAGAAAATAATGACAAAACACAAAGCAAGAGGAGAGAATGACATTGTGGAAACAAAAATGTCACCAAGTCAAAAGAGAACTTGGAAGCATGAACTGTGGAATATTATTGAAGTAAATGTAATTATACAGTTTTAAACCCTAAAAGAGGAAGTAACCATATAGAAGGAAGTTGATGCAATGTATAACCATGGAAATAATATTATCTGTACAGATGCCAAGCAATCTCATCAAAGATTTATATTGGAATGATATTAAGTGAAGGTTTTCAAGTCACATTACATAAACACCATTTTGTCCAAATATGATTTCTTTCATCGTATCCTTCCATTAATTAGACTGTTTACTAGCCCCCATCTGAGTTTACTGGTTGCTCAATCTGATCATTCAGAACTCTGAACCTGCCAACCCAGCTCCAGAACCTTAAACCATACATAGACATATATATATATTCTCTTCATCAAGTCACTGCAATGAAATCTAAAACATAAAAGTAACTTCTTTTATGCCAAAATTCTTTCATGAATTTGAAGCAACTGGATTTGTACAACAATAGGCATATTCCAACTCCAGAAGAAGTCATGTTCTAATTAAAACTCCACAAGAATGCTTCTGAAAAACATTCCAGAACTAAAACTAATCTTGCATTAAAACTCTCTTCTATTTTGTTAGACCTGCTTTCAACTTTGACCTGTCGCAAAAGGTTGTTGAGTTCTTTACCATCTTCTAATCTTTAAATTATAATATTAAAACTCTCTTCTTCATTTTTTGTAGGGATCAAATTGGTAAAAGTGAGAACGTCCATTTTAACTTTACCTTTCTCAAAAAAGAAAAGAAAAAAAAACTCATTCTCATGACTGAGTGCAATAATCAAATCAAATCACATTTTCATACTCTTTCCACAATACCAATTATTTTAATAGAACTCCAAGAACATCATATACAATAATTCATTCACACTTCTTTTTCTTAATCTCTATTATAGACAACACCAATTGTGTCAAAGTCAAGACAAGGGACAGAAGGTGGTATTATCTAACCAACAAAGTATTATCTACGTAAATGTTATGCTTAGCCTTCTTTTTAATCTTCATTGCTCGTCAGCTTTCTAATCCTACACTTCAAGAATTCTCCTTTTTTCATAAGCTAACCTAAGAGGCGTGGTACCAAAACCAAAGCCAAATACCTTCTCACTCAAAAGGCCCGCACGACATAGGCAACCATAGCTTATTATCGAGAAAATGATCGAAATGGTCCTTGATGTATCTTCTTGACAAATAGAGTCATTATTGTATATGAAAAAGGTAACACATTTGGTTTGAAACCCTAAATCTGATAGAATTTGTAAAAGGGCCTGTTAAATAAAACACCCATAATCAACCAGCAGCCTTTACTCCCCCCACACCCCCGTTTCTCGCCTTCTATCTACTACCACCCGTCTATCTAAAACAAACCTCCCCTTCCAACACCAGTGATCACATGCTGAAAATTCATCTAAATCCAAGAACTACCACAAAATCGTATGTGGAAAGCCTACAATCTTCATCTGGAAAGCAAAAAATGGCCTTTCGGCCCAGAAATCAGCAGCGGGCAATATCACCAGAAAATTTCATTAGTCTCATCTCATCCCGCTTACCTTCCCAAAGACCATCTTTAATGGAAACATCATCGAAAACTTTCAGATTTGAAATGCCACTTTGGATTCAGTTGGCCGGAAATACTCATCGGAAAGTATCTATTTTGATGCCTGTCTCAAAGGCCACTGTTGTTGTTGCTCTGTCCGTCTCTTGTTGCAACCATAAACTGACTTCACTGTTGGCACGTGCGGTCATGGACAAAATGTTTAACCTTAACACTCTTTTTTTTTAAAAAATTCTGCTACATTTAGAGTTTTGGACCAAATACATCACCTTTTCACATATATTACGGACTATAACTGTAAAGGATTAACTGTCAAATAAAGCAGCCCCAATACATTGATGATCATATTCTCCATGTTTTCTCCTTATATGAGTAAGTAATAAATATATGTAACCACTTGGAAAGACAGTACTAGAAGGACCAAAAAATCCTAATGAACAATATAACATCCACAATAGGATGTCATAGCTTCACCTATTTCTCAGATTCTTATTTTTGCCTAGGATAAGATTAAGATCTTCAAAAACTCAAATTTCCATCAATCTAAAAGACTTTTATGTCCACCTCAATCATACTCCAAATATGTTTCTCCCTTCTGCTACTAACACTAATTTTCAGCTTATAGAGGAAAAGACCCCTACTTTAACTTTATATCCTTAATTTTAATGCATTGGCAAAAGAAGTCGGAAAAATAATTAAAAAAGGGAATGAGAAATTTTAAATACAAAGCAAGGACATGAACTTGCATGTCTTGAAAGCTAGATTTCATTACATTCAGCCATTAATCAGGAAAGAGAAAAAGGCTAAGATACACTACTGCCTATGGGTTAGATAGATGCACTATATTATTTGTTACAACATAAATGAAGAAATAATTACACAAAAAATCTCATTGTTATTGCAGATCCGGTACAATGGTTGTTCCCCACAAGGACATGGAACTTTTCTTATTTCATTTTCATGTCATAACAGAGTGGTGGACACATGCTTCCTAGTACTGGCTGGTATAAAACCATTACGACCCAAATATCAAATTCTTAGAGGGTATCACAACCTCAAAATATTTCAATAATGGCACAACTTAATAAGTATAATTTGGTCCGGACGAAATATATAAAAAATAAAAAGATATGGTGACGCAAGAAAAGAAAAAATTAACATAGGGATTGAGAAAAAAAATATATATGCTATGATAATGAACAATGAGAGATATAGGCGCTAAAGACATTCCAAATAAGGACAGAAAGAAGATTATGATGGTGTCATGTACATCCCTTTAGATCTAAGTTAGACACAAGATGTTACATTATCTATTGTTTTTACAAAGTGGACAAGTATTGTTGGACATTTGTTTTTCATAAAAGCGAAGAAATAAATTTTATTTATTACATGAGGGTTGTGCTTCTTTTTTCTAATACTCTTAACATTTTATACTAAAGTGAGTCTTTTCTACTACTCGTAACAAAAACTCTACAAAAAGATTGTTCTTTCCTTCTTCTCCTATTTAAATCTTTATAGAAAGTAATTATATTAATTAGTTCTAATTAGAGCACTAGAAAAAGAATGGACAGAAGCTTTTAATTATAATAAACTCATTAACCATTTCATAGAAGCTACAGAAATGAAGAGTTCGAAGGTGGACTATATCCTGTAAAACCTCACTAAATTAATACTCGGAATATTAATAATATCTCTAAGATAATATTTTCCTCCGGTCCCAACTTAGGCCAATGAAAAAAAATTACCTATTTCGATAAGATAATATATTTTCAGAAGACCCCTGTATAAATATATGGTCTCATTAGTATTACAAATTAATACTCCCTCTATCCCAATTTATGTGACTCACTTTCCTTTTTAGTCAGGCCCAAAAAGAATGACACATTTCTATATTAAGTAACAATTTAACTATAAATGTCTATTTTACCTTTAATGAAATGATTTACAGTCACACAAATTTCTATCATTCATTCTGGACCACAAGTTTTAAAAGTCTTCATTTCTTTCTTAAACTTCGTGCCGAGTCAAACTACCTCACATAAAATGGGATGGAGGGAGTAATTCTTTAAAAGTACAAATATATCTAAGACAATTTAGTGAAATATGATTCTATTGTGTTTTGTTAAAATTTAAATCAAGTTGAAGCGCATATCTAACTTTTCTTATTGCATTCAAAAGTTCCAATGTTGTTTTTTCAAATTGCACCATAAAATTGTGAAAAGTTTTAGATGCGATAAGTGTTTCCTTGTATGTAACTGGTCCCAAAGGTATTGTACCATCTTCAACTTCATCATCAACATTGTTTTCCCGATAGTACCCACAATTTCTTCTAAGCTCTGGACCTCCGAATATGTAAAATTATTTAAGATATGATATGTGTTTTTTGAACTGCACCATAAATTTGTTTTTTATGTGAATTCAATAAATATGATCCTTAAATTAATAAGATACAATGATTTTGATTTATCCTTCGATCATTGAATCTCAAGACACTCTTTAAATTAATAAATATTAACTTGTCGATTAAATAATATCTCTACAAAATAATAATATTTCATGGTCCCACCTATATTTATACCTATATTAATTTAGTGAGGTTTTACTGTAATGGGCTAGTATGAAAGAGAGGGAAACAGGCAACGGAGCACAAAAATTTGTTGGAATGGAGCTTATATGTTGTTGCAATAATTTTAAAAAAAGGAGCAAATATGCTTTTGTTTGATATTGAAATTCACCAACTAATACTTTCTTCCAATCTCTCCAAGATATAGGATCTTGCTAAATTCCCAATCACACAAACTTCTACCACCCAAAGCAGAGAAGCAATTCTGTAAAATATATAGTTAATAAAAGATAAAGGTATATTATCCTAAACATTAAAAAGCACAATTAGACAAAAGGCTAATAAGTCTCTCCAAACTTTGACAAAATAAAAGGATCATTTTCATTGAAACCTTGGTTCGACCTAGAAAGATTCAGCTTACCCCTTGAATCCAAAACAAAGTTGTCCATCTGTCAAAACATAGTCTCTAATAGCTTTATTGGCTTCTTCAGTGACATGATAAAACTGCACAAGTTATACATTTCAGCAAGTTGGAAATTTTCTTCAACCTCTGCATAGTTATTTCATTTGGCTCAGGGCGACCATTAACATATTGAACAAGCATAACATTATCCGACTCCACAATCAATTGTTCTACGTGTGGTTCTCCTTTCTTACATCTATTCAACTCATGCGTCAAGGCCTCAAGTTCAGCAGTCACATCGTCTTGAACATTAATATCACCCATATAGCTACTTAACACAATCCTTTAGCTTGGAAGACACCACTAAATTGTCCTGTTTGGTTCCCCTTTGTGCTAATACCATAGATGTTTAGTTTACTCAACTTGGAGAAAGAGGAACCAATTTCCATTTGACATGACAAGGCATACGATAGTGACCCAAAAGTTCTGCAAACATCTTACTAGTCTGATCGCTTGGTATGGCATACCAGGTAACAGTTTGGTTTCAATATACGTGCAAAACAAAAGTTAAAAGTTATATCTTAGGAATAACTTACACTCTTCCCTCCTATTATTCCTTCAGCTCAGCAAATAAGTACTTTGTATAATTCAACCAATGAAATTTTCCAACTAGCACTTAAATCAATCACACGATTAAAGCACATCTTATGACTCGAGAAAGAAATGAAACAAGCATACACAGACATAAAATAGAGAGCTAATGACTTCAACAATATGTTCATAGGACAAAACCCTTGTTTCCTAGAATCAATGACAAAAATTACATTTGATAATAACGGAAAATTTCAGTATTTAATCACACCCCCAAATATCTTTACATATCAAACCAATAATATCCTAACTTGCCAATGTTTGTGTCAAAGTTGGCATCCACGTCAAAGAAATGTTAGAAAAATTCTGAGAGCACATAATCATGCATCTCATCTTTGCTAGTTTTATGTTCATGCAGCTCATCTTTGCTAGTTTTATGTTCATGCATCTCATCTTTGCTAGTTTTATGTCCATCACTATTGTGAATTTAAGAATTCTCTATAAGTGTATCATTGTTTCAAGATTATTCAGATCCTCAAGTGGCAGATCATTGAATTCTCTACAAAATGAGTTTGTCAGCAAGAGAATCCGGTTAAGACAAGACAAAGACCAGTTTGCTCCTAATAAATTGCCGAATAGACAATAGTACGAATGAGGCATGTAGAACATTGTTGGTGTATGAGCTTTCGTCTTGCAATCTTCATCAATGGTGAGAACCTCAAGACCTAGTTTCTTTTAAACTGCAATATCAACAGAAGTCAACACATAACAAGACCGTATATTTCTATATTGTCAATCTAACTAGAAAAATCTTGTTTTAGTTGGAGAACTATGGCAGGCTGAAGTTCTGAATTGGAAGTGTATTCAACGCCTCCCAAACCATGGACTACCACCTGAACATGCGAATAGGAGCCTAAAATGCGATAGATTTTTTTTGGATGGTCTCATCCTGTTTGAGATCCCCTCGCATTCCAGCATACACCACTAGATAATTGACAATGTAGAAATATATGATCTTGTAATGTCATCTATTGATACCGCAGTTTGCAAGAAACTAGGTCTTAAGTACCATTGATGAAGATCGTAAGAGGACAGCTTAGAGACCAACAATGTTCTACATGCCTCTTTCTTACTATCATCTTATTGGCAATCTATTGGGAGCAAACTAGTCTTCGTCTTGTCTTAACCGTATTCTCATGTTGACAAACTCATTTTGTGGAGAATTCAATGATCTATTGCTCGAGGATCTGAATGATCTTGAAACAATGATATGTTTACATAGAATTCTTAAATTCACAATAGAGATTGACATAAAAACTAGTAAAGATGCAATGTATGATTATGTGTTCTCAGAATTTAACTTACATTTCTTTGACATGGATATCAACTTTGACACAAATATTAGCAAACCGTGATATTATTGGTCTGATATGCAAAGTTATTTGCGAGTGTGACTAAATGCTGAAATTTCCATTTATTATCAAATGTAATTTTCTATCGTCATTCTATTGATTCTGGGAAACAAGGGTTTTGCCCTATGAACATATCATTGAAGTCATTAACCCTTTATTTTATGTCCGCTTATGCTTGTTTCATTTCTTTCTCCAAGTCATAAGATATGTTTTACTCATGTGATTGATTTAAGTGCTAGTTGGAGAATTTTGTTGGTTGAATTATGCAAAGTACTTCTTTGTTGAACTAAAGGAACAATAGGAGGGTAAATTGTAAGTTATGCCTAAGATGTAACTTTTAACTTTTGTCTTGCAGGTATCTTGAAACCAAACTGTTATTGGGTATGCCAAGTGATCAAACTAGTAAGATGTTTGAAAAACTTTTGGGTCAATATTGTATACCTTGTCATGTCATATGGAAATGGCAAAATGGTCTGGTGGACCCTTGTACTTGTATGTGTTTGTATTGTGAATCCTTCTACTTGCTCATTTGTCATCTGAACCCCTGAAATTATTGAAACACAATATTTTAAACACTATTTTTTACTTGGCATCCTATGTGGCATCTAATTCTAGAGTGCGTGTAAAACACACATATTAGGTGCGTGAGACCCTTGGAAAAGGGTCTAAAAGTCACATTAGGACTTTTATATAGCCATCATCTTCCTAGTTGGATGGATCTCCATTGTTGGATAGAATTTGAGGTTTTCTTGGCCTTTTATTTTTTTTATCTTTTTCCCCCAAATTTCTTCTCTATTGTTTATTATCATTATACTGCTCTCTTTATTATGAAACACCCCATTAATGACAAACACTACTTACAAACATCTTACACTTACATTAAGCATAAACAAAGCAAAATTTTCAAGAAAATCAATGTAGTTGACTAAAACCCAAAACCAACCAAGAAATAAATAGAAGATCAAATCCAGATTAAACAACAAATAAATTGAAAAACCTACCTAGATAAGTTGAAAATCAAACAAAAACAACAAAAAAAAAAACTCAAATAATTTTCGAGATTAACCCCTGTTTCAATCATCCACCACTCAAATGACCCATGTTTTAGATCCAACCAAACACAAACTTATTGCTCTCGTCCTCTTCACCTTCTCCGACCAGAACGCCTTCATTCTCACCGCCTCCAACAAGCTTCAACCAATAACTATAAGCGAGAACCAACAACAACAACAAAAATACCAAACCAACTCCGCCAATAAGTATCGACCTTCCTAAAACCGCTAGCCCCGAGCTCCGGCGAGATTGTGAACAACTAGAAACAATCAGACCCCACTATTCCTTAGGCCACCGGTCACCACCAAAACCCCAATTCAATAAAATTCAAAATCAACTCCGAACTCCGACGAGATTGTGAACAATCAGAAGTCATGCCAACATTTTT